GTACAAGATGTATTTTGATAATTTTCACCCTTCATTATCCTCTCTTATACCCCTCAGAGAGCCCCACATCTTTCCTTAAAAATAAATTTTCAAGTCTGAATGTTATGGTCAGAGCTGCTGGGAAGGAACCCACGGATGGGGAGGCACCCTAGTCAGGCTCAGCTAACTCTGCCTCTGCGGTGTGAAAAGTGGCTTTTCCTGCTGCGTGGGCGGGGTCTCAGGCTGAGTGAAAGGGAAAGGGGGAACGGAGCCTGCACTGAACACTCCCCGCTTCTGACTGTGGAAACGGCTTCTTAAGCTGCTGTGGCTTCCCTGATCAGAGGAACTGTAACTGTGAACCGAAAGCTGAAATAAACCCCATTTCCCCAAAGTTCCTTTGGACAGAGCATTTCACCACAGCAAAAGGAAACAAACAGACAACAATGGTCCATCATGCAACGCTTCTAGACCAGTGGTTCTCAACTTTCCTAATGCTGTGACCCTTTAACACAGTTCCTCATGGTGTGGCAGCCCTCCTCCCCCACCATAAAATTAGTTTCATTGCTATTTCATAACTGTAATTTTGCTACTGTTATGAATTTTAATGTAAGTATTTGTGTTTTCTGATGGTCTTAGGCAACCCCTGTGAAAGGGTCACTTGATGCTCAAAGGGGTCGTGGCCCACAGGTTGAGAACCTCTGATCTAGACACCAGCAGGACCACTAGGCTTTACTCAGACTTTCGCTGCTTTTAATTTGCTTCCATCCGTTCAATTTCTTCTAAGACTGTGGACGGTGTCTCTGGAAAGCCCCCTTTTAACTTATTCCCTCTGTAACCCATTTTTGTGTGGTTTGGCCTCTCCTATCAAGCCCACTCCGCTCTCTGGAGAATTTCCCGACATCTGCCCCTCAGGGGAATTTTTCTCTTTGCCCTGAGAGCTTTTGCTGGCCCGGGACACTACTCACTGAGCAGTCCTGCCTTCTGCCCTTCCCCCACCCACAAACAGGAGCCATCTTCCAAGCTCCAATTCCCCTTGCTAGGCTCTCTCTTCTTTAGCCCCTTCTCCCATTTCTATGATTTCAGTTGCAATCTATGTGATGACTCGTCCCACATCCGTTTGTGGTTTGGAATTCTCTGCCCATATTTACAGGAGTTTGTCGGATCTTTACACACTGTTACCCTTGGTATTCCCTCAAAATTCATTGTTTCCTCTCTGCCTCAGAATCTGAGTCATCTTCCGCTATTCTCTGTCTACACAGCTTGGGCTGGAAACCTTGTTTCCTCCTGCTATTTCTTCCTGACCTATTAATTAGTAAATTGTGCCACACCTATTGACTCTAGGGAAATAATATATAAGATACTTCTGCTTTATTAAAACCACTTACTTTCTGGTAGGGCTCACAACACATGTGTACATATGAGTGAGGACACCCAAGGACAAACAGGCATTGCACCACAGTGGCAATCCTTCCTTTTATGGGGAAAGGGTCACTTGTTGTCTGTAACTCCATATATAGGCTAGGATGTCTGGCTAGAGCTCACATCCTAGCATTAGGACCCACCTCCCCAATGCTAGGATTACAAACATGAAGGTTTGCCAGGTTTTTTGTTTGTTGGTTTGCTTGGTTTTTGTTTTTTTGACATGGGTCCTCATGTTTGCAAGGCAATCCCCTTACAGACTGATCAATTTCTCCTGACCCTCTGAACTTAACTTACTCTTAACTTTCAGGTAGAGTTAGGAATGAGGAAAAACCGAGGAAGGACTGATTAGTAGTAGGATTTTCCTTGCTGTGACAGACTTGAGCAAATTAAAGGAGAAAAGGTTTGCCTTGGGGGTTTGTGGTTTCCAAGGTTTCAGTCCATCATGGGTGATAAGGTAGAACAGCTCACACTATGGCAGCTGAAAAGCACACACATGCATTCACACACACACACACACACACACACACACACACACACACACGGGGGAGGGGGGAGAGAGAGGATGAAAGTGAGTAGAATGTAAGTATGCCTATGTTACAGTTTTCCTTTGTTCCTCTTTTACGCTATCTGGCCTTCTATCCTATGGGCAGAGGCTGCCCACATTCAGGATGAGTCTCCCCACTCCCTTGATCCCTTCTGAAAATGTTATCACAGACACATCTAGAAGTGTGCTTTGTTAATCTCTTAGGCACTTTTCTGTTTGAGCCAACTGATAATCTTGTTGGTCCATCAAGATTAACCATCACAAGCCAGGTGTGGTGGTGCATGCATTTGATCGCAGCATTCAGGAGGTAGAGGCAGGCAGATCTCTAGGAGTTCAAGACCAGCCTCATTTACAGAGCGAGTTCCAGAGCAACGAGGGCTACACAGAGAGACCTTGTCTCGAAAAACAAAACAAAACAAACAAACAAACAAAAAGATTAACTTCCACAGTCTGCTAGCTAGTGAAGATTAACAAAGCTCCCTTCTCATACATGTGCTAGTCTTCTGTTCACTTAGTGTGTTCCTTATAGACAGGAAACTGTCAGAGTCTCAGACTCTGGAATTTGTACAGGTTGATTTTGCCTGCTTAAGTGTTGGTGAGATTCTTTTTTAGTTGTGATGGGAGTGGGCACGCTGATTTAGGAAAATATGGGTAAGGTGCCCCACTGGGTCTTGAGTCTAAGCAATGGTCTTTAATCTGACTTTACCCTAAATAAAGTTAATATTTTACTTTCTTTTTGGATCCTTGTATTTATTACTAATGTGGTGGAGAACCTGAAGACAAGACAGGCTATGCGGTTGATCACTATGTGACACATTGCAGACTATTTAGTTCTCAACTCCCTGCCCCGGGATTACAGTGGTAATTCCTTGTCATAAAAGAAGTAAATTACAACATTTTCCATTGCAATTTTTTCATTTATTGGTATGAGAAATATGTGTCATGAGTGTTTTTCCACCCTTACCTTTAATTTTAAATTTATGACTTTTATATAACATCAATTATTCTTTTAAATGAGAACTCAGCAGAAAGAGAAGGCATAAATACTACTAAATTAATTTCCCCAAAGGACATATTGGCTAATTTAATATATATTGAACTCCAGGATGTACTGCCACACAAACACAGAAAAAATTACTAGCTTGCTATTATTTGGAAAGGAAAAGATAAATTAGCAACAAATCAGAAATTAAGGGACTCATAGACTAAATTCTTTCAAGGACTTGGTTTGTTTATTGTATGTATCCTTAAGATTACCCAGACAAAGAACAGAAATAAATACATATAAAAAGAAGTACTTATAAATCCTTTTTAGTTAAGTTTAGCTGGTTAAGCATTTGCCTGAGAAGGAAGATCAACGATGTTCTTGTGTGCACTTGAAACTGACAAATGGCTGCAGCAAGGCTCAGGACGATAATAATGACACAAAAGTAATAATGGCTCAGAGAACCATATTACTAATTGTGTGCGTTTCCTTGTTAAAATGCAGAGTTTGGGGCAAACGAATTACTTTGCTGTACTAACAGTTTCAGAGCTGTTTCCATTCAAAGTTGTTGATGCCATTCCAGCTCACTTACGAGCTTTAGGCAGTGAGAAGCATAAGGATGACCTTCCTAAATTGCATGTTATCTCTACCTACAGTTTGCAGAAGGTTTCTCCAATACAGTTTAAAATGACTCTGTCTGCATGCTCAGTCTGCACGGTCGGTTCTTCCTTTCCTGGTGTGCCACACTTGGCAAGCTCTCAGGATTCTTTTCAGCAGCCCCTGCATAGTGCATGGGAATCCAGTTTCCTACTGCAGTGGGCTGCAGTATCAGGAATCCTTCAGCTATGGGCGCATGATGCAGCGCTTCCAGGTAGCTCTGCTGTCTGCCTGGGACCTGTGAAGCCTGTTTGGGAAGCAATGCACCCTGCAGTCTGACACTCCAGACTCCACCTTACTCAGCATCTGAAAGCAAGGCCCCTTCCATTCGCAGCCTCCTAAAACGGAGTGAGTTCCATATCAGTCTGTATTTGTTTTAGTAAACCAGCATGCAATCAGGAGCACATACCCACTCTTTTCACACATAGGACTGTCATTAGGACTAAGCAACATCTTTCTGCATTTCTTTTAATGCTCACACTTAATACTATATCACCCACCTTAACCAGCAGCTAATGGCTAAGCATTTTTGCAGTACTGCAAGTTGGTTTTATATGGCTAAAATTCAATACGAGCATTCCCATTAATTCTTCAATTGACTTTCAGAATTTTACGAATTATTTAGTCTCCAAGCTAGTAACTAGAAATGGCACAAAAGTGGTAATGTATCATTTATCATATATCACATAATTGCATGGGTTTTTTATTTTTGTTTTTATTCTTATGCTACTCACATAAGAATGAGACAAGACAAATCACCCAGTCTACAAAATCCAGCATGCCTCAGGGGCAGCAGGGCAGAGTACTGCACTGGCCCGCCAAGGCCGCAACGTGCTGCAGGCTGCTGCTGCAGCTCTGGCTTCCTCGCCAAGTGGCAGAGGCCCTCCGCAGAAGAGCACACCGCAGCACTCACACCTTGCCGTCTTGGCACTGGACCAGCGACCACTCCACTTTCAAGTGTCCAGCAGACAACTACGAATCAGTTTTTGCAGATTATAAGGGAATGTAAGGGGGCTGGGAAACGGCAAAAGGGAGAGAGGGTGAGTGTGTGTCCAAGTGTGACAGATCACCGTTGGCTAATAGTGCCTAAAATTTTTCTCCCGCAGTATTTACTGGCCAATCAATCACCAACTTCCTTCATCGGTTAGATGCTCACATCAAAAATCACCTCTCCCTACAAAGACGCTAAACGAATCAGGGTTTTATGGCCAACGCCAGGTATCAAGAGGACATAAGAGCTCACGTCTGAGCTGAAAATCAGCACCAAGTTTGGGGGTGGGACCGTGCAAGTCTGCAAACCCCGGCATGCCTCTCCCGAGCGCTGCTGGATGGGACCGGCTTAGAGATGGTCCTTCCAGGTGCTCGCGCCTCAGTGCGCAAGGACTACCCCCGCCCCCAAACCAAATAGCTCACCCTGCTGCATCCTTTGAGCCCCAGCCTCCGGGCGGGCGCAGGGAGGCGGGAGCCCGGGTCCCCCCCGGCTCCTTGGCGCCCCCTGACGCCGGCCTCCAGCAGTCGGTCCACCGAGGCTGCAGAGGCGAAGCCCGGGGGTCCCGC